ACTTCGGCCGGTGCTACTTGATGGACGTGAAAATAATGTTGGTCTTCGTGTCCCAGGCAGATTGTCTCCGCCTTGGGCTTAGTCAGGCACTGCGGATAAAAAGGAGTTACGTGATCTCGCCAGGCCAGGACCATCCAGGATTGCAACGTCGATGTTTGTTGGCCCAGACACGCTTCTTCATGTGCCCGAGGTCCTCCACGGCGTTGTCCAGATCTGTCTGAGTTGCTCCGTACTGAACGGACCCGTACTGGGCGATGTCCTCCACTGGTGTGAGTAGTAGCTTCTCGATGGTGGCGTCTCGTAGGTAGATGCTGGTGGGATGCGATGTGGCGTTCATGCTTCCTTCTGCAGCTGGCTTGGCGAGTGCGTCGAGGAAGGCTTGGCCTCGGGATCGGACAGCGGAGACGGACAGGTAGCTTCGCTTCTTTATGCCAGCGCGCGCGTCAGCGCGTAGTCGAGCTAGATGTCCAACCCGAGCGAGGTCGCGGATGGCCCACGCTTCCCGTAGCTGATCGCCCACGGAGGTGCGCCACCAATAGTTGTACCAGCGTCGAAATGATTGGAGCTGTTGTGATACTCGGCGTAGATCGGCACGGTGGAGGTGGCGACCAGCTCCGCATAGTTGTGCTCGTCGTCGGAGTAGCCGTGCTCTCTCGGCCTTGGCTGTGAGTACCCATGTGGGCGCGTGTCCTTCTCGGGTGAAATATTTCTTGGCGGTGGACTTGATGATATATCCGACAACAGCAGCATGTCTTGTTGGGGCGGCGTCGGCAGTGAGTCGTGTGAGGCGAGCGCGGTGCTGGTCGCATTGCTCTCGTAGCTTTTGGAGAATCTGTAGACGTTGATGTCATTGCTGCAGGCAAGCGGCTAGCATGCCACAGTCCCAGCGTGGTTGATCACTGTCATAATGCTGCTCTGGGGCCGAAATTCGCACTTCCATAATCATCGGGACATGGTCAATGACGGGGAAGGTTCGTAGTCGATATGAGGCGTGCCATCCCATGGCCAAGCGTGTAATTGCAAGCTTGAGGCTGGCGGGGGCACTGAAGTAGTCGACACGGCCGTGGGAACCGTGGTTCCCGTAGTAGCTAATCCCAGGGTTCCAGTAACTGTTGACCGCGCTCAGCTCGTGTTCTATCATGTCTGTGTGGAATCGCTGAGCGAGATCGTATTCGGGGCCTGCTTGATATGGGCCGATGCTGGCGTCGGTGCTGGGGCGGGAACCGCGCAGACCGAAACGTATATTCACGTCGCCAAACATGATTGGCACAGTGCGCTCGGGAGTCGTCGTGAATTATGCAGCACCCATCGCCAAAGTTGAAGACAGGTCTTCTTCCAGAAGTCATGGTCCTTGGCGAGGTGTGGGCGCGGTAGGAAGTAGGTGACGATGTATTGCACTCGATGTGGTCCACGTTGTACATCGATGCTTCCAGCTCGGCCCTGTATGTGTGATGGTGCCGATATGAATCGTGTGATTTACCGTTCTGTATAACCGTCTTGATAGTCCAATGCTGCAGCCTGCGCTGGAGTTCGTGCCTGCTGCTCTCGTCCATCCGAAGCGAACCCAAAGATGATGCTGAGTCCGTTTTGTATGATGTGCTGTACCTGCCCTGCTCCTTGTACCTGGGGCCAAAATCGCGTCCATGTTGCGGAACCCCGCACTGAAGGCCTCCAGGCGCCCCTCGTGGCTGACCAGACTGAAAGGATTCCAGCCGACGATGGGGGTTCTGCGCAGGGGCTTAGGGTGGTAGCCTTCGTCGGTGTCGTCGAACGCGGGGGCGGCGGCCATGCCGAGGCACAGTGCGAGAAGCACCCGCGGCCACATCGCCATGAATCAGGCCATCTCATGGGGCGAAACTGCTGGGCGGAGAAAGGGCGAAGATTCGGCGGAGGCCACTGCGCCTGGACGGATCTGAGCAGTCCGTGGCCTGACGACGACGACGACGACGACGACGACGACGACCTCGTGGCAGGTCTCTTCGGGCCTCCTGGAAGCAGTTCCGGGGCCTCTTGGGGCTGGGTTTGGTGCATGTTGGGGGGCCGTTTGGGAGGCTCTTGGGGGCCGCTCGGGAGCCCCTTGGGGGCCTCTTGGAGGCAGCTTGGGGCCTCTTGGAGGCGTCCCGGGCGCCTCTTGGGGCCTCCTGGAGGCCTCTTGGGACCGAGGGCCCGGAAAGTCCGTTCGGATCCCACGTCTGGGCCCCTTCTTAAAGCCGTCTTGGGGCCCTCTTGGGCCGTCTTGGAGGCCTCTTGGGCTGTCTTGGAGCCCTCTTGGGCCGTCTGGGGGCCGTCTTGGGGGCCTCTTGGGCCGTCTTGGAGCGATATTGGGGGCCTCTTGGGCTGTTTTGGAGCGTCGGGACACCGAAAAGGCGAGAATCAAAAAACTTCAAAAATCCGCTAAACAAAAACAAACAAAAAAACGACATCCATTTTTGTCTCTTGGGGCCCTCTTAGGAAGCCTCTTGGAAGCTTCTTGGGGCGTCTTGGAAGCCTCTTGGGCCGTATTGGGACTATCTTGGGCGTCGTGGAGCGATCTTCGTGCGTCTCGGGGCCCTCTTGGACGATCTTGAGGGCCTGCTGGAGCCGTCTTGGAGGCCTCTTGGGCCGTCCTGAAGCCTCTTGGAGGCGCCGGGGAGGGGGTATCAAAAAAGGGAGCCGGATGGTTGCGAGGTGGGCGGGGCCCTTTTGGGAGAGTCCGGTATTCGTCCATACTATACATATATATATATATATACACACATACATTTATCTATATAAATATATGTGTGTATGTATGTATGTATGTATGTATGTATGTATGTATGTATGTATGTATGTATGTATGTATGTATGTATGTATGTATGTATGTGTATGTATGTATGTATGTGTGTATGTATGTATGTATGTATGTATGTATGCATGCATGCATGTATGTATGTATGTATGTATGTATGTGTGTATGTATGTATGTATGTATGTATGTATGTATGTATGTATGTATGTATGTATGTGTGTATGTATGTATGTGCAAATATGTATGATTACGTATGTGTGTGTATATATAGCCCCGCATGCATTCTGCATTATTCTCCCGCCGCTGCTCGCCTGGACAGCCTGGCCACTCATGGCCCTATCCTCGGCGGCCCCCGCCCAGGTGACAAAGCCCGTTTCGGAGAAATGCACTTCGCGGCGGCGCGCCGAGGGGGGAAGAGAGAGAGGGCAGGCCTTCGCAGAGGCCACGGGGCTTCTCAGAGGCCCTCCGGCCTTCTGGGAAGCCCTCGGTGGCTTCGAGGACGGCTCAGAAAGCTTCTCAGAAGGCCTGAGGCCTCCTGAGCCTTCTGAGAAGGCCACCTGTGCATTCCCCTGTGGGTGCGCCGCCGAACTTCCCCGCCTCGGCGGAATCCGCTGAGGATGCGTCCCCGAAGGCCCCCGCGGCACGGTCCCGACAGGCGTCTCGAGCCGAGCCCGAGGATCGCGACAGAGGCCCCCCGGGGGCAGAACGGGAACAGGTCCTGTAGCATGGGGACAACGGGTCCTGCGGGAAACGGGTCCTAGACCCCGGGGAATTTCCCCAGGACGCGTCTTTCATCCTGAGTCGCCTTCTGGCAGTCGCCCGTGGAGGGCCACGAGGAGCCCGAAAGCGGTGCAAAACCTCGGGACCCGGTTGCATTAGGACTCGCTCGCCAACATGGCGAGGTCATGCTGGATCCTGACCCAGACGGGCTCAGGTGCTGAGCGCGCGCGCTGCCTCCCCCTCCTCCTCCTCCTCCCTCCTCCTCCTCCTCCTCCTCTCCTCCTCCTCCTCCTCCTCCTCCTCCCCTCCTCCTCCTCCTCCGCCTCCGCCTCCGCCTCCGCCTCCTCCTCCTCCTCCTCCTCCTCCTCCGCCTCCTCCTCCTCCTCCGCCTCCTCCTCCTCCTCCTGAGCTGGCGGAGGCGCGCTGACAGGCAGGGGCCCCACCAGCGGCCCCCACAGGCACGGGCGCCGGCCTGAAGTAGCAGTCCGCCGCCCCCTGCCTGCCAGGAGATGGAGGCGCGAAGCGACCCGCGGGCCGACACCGAAGACGCCGACCCCGCGCCCCGGACCCAGAGGGGGTGGGGCGACGAAGTCTATAAATGTCCCCAGACCCCCTCTGGCAATGAAAAAGTCATGACGGGAGGTTTTTCCTGATTTTCGGCCTCTGGAGGCCCTTACCAGCCCTCGGGACCGTCGAAAAACGACTCAGGATGAAAAACCGGTCCAGGGGAATGAGTCGAGACCTCTGAGGGTCGACGTTATGAAAAAAGCATGACGTCGGGGGTCTGGGCCCACTGCTCCCTGGCCAGGGAGCGGTGGATACGTATAGAGTTCGTCGCGCTCCACTCCTGCTCTCTGGGAGGCTGCCGTGCTCTGGAACCCCCTCCTTATCCTCCCCCTCCTCCGCCTCCTCCTCCACCTCCTCCTCCTGCTCCTCCTCCTCCTCCTCCTCCTCCTGGTCCTTCTCCCGGGTCGCCTGGTTCGCGCGTTGCGCCCTGGCGCCGCCACCCTTTGGAGAAGGGCAGCCCGGGCGATCATTCCTGGAGGAAGAGAAAGCTAGGGCTTGGGTTCGGGCGGAGGGAAGGTTAGAAGGTCGGAGTCCAAAACAAGAGTTCGAAACAGCTCTCAAAGGATCATGGAGAACTCGGAAAACATGCATTAACATGGTTTTCAAAAAAGTTTGAACAACAGTTGACCAAAGTTCGAACCAGGTTCCAGAAAAGTTTGGAAAACAGTTCCGACTAAAATCGAAACCGATTCGGGAGTTCACGGAAGGCTCGCACGCGCTCCAGATACTCAGAGCTTCTTCAACTTTGTAAAAGCATCGGCATCTAACGTTCTGGCCTCATAAAACCCGTTCGCGCCCCCTCAGCCAATTGCGGTCCTCGGCCCGGATCGCGATGCGCGAGGCGCAACTATCCTCGCGCTCCCACGAGCGACCTGGATCTTCGACTCCTGCTCCACCGATCATGCCAGATCGAGGGCGGGGTCAAGGCGCAAGACGACAGTCTCATGGATAATAGTTGCCCTCCGTCCGATGCCACAGCACCTCCCTGCCCAAACACGTCTCGCCCACAACCACCACAACCACACTGTCACCGCAGCCACGCCTGTCTCTGCCGTGTCGCTGGCTTTGTCACGAACATGTATGACGACCCTCCCTAACACTGTTTCATCTCTTTTATCCAGCTGGCGTCCCGCCTTTGAGGCTAGCCACCACCCCATCATCTATCAAGCTGGCGTGATTAGTCAAGTAGAAGCTTAAGCGAACTGGTGCACCTGGCCGCAGACAGGTTATCCTTTCGGTCCCCTCCACCCCTTGCCGAACACGAACGTGTGAGATGCAATGTTCTGTGCCAGTGGGAAAGAGAAAGAGGAGGGAGGAGGACCCAACTACAAGACACATGTGATCCGCGCTCGGCCCGATTTGCGACTACCATTTGCAAGATCATTGGCTATGATGATGGTAAGCTGGAGGCCACCAGATTGCGCACAGTCTTGCTGTCAGGGACATAATACTAACACATTCCAAAGGGATTCGAGGCACCGACGTCAACGACACAATAACATTCGCTTACCCAACGGGCCAGGGCGTGCTAAGATCTCCGGTAACTGGTTAACAGTATTAACAGTATTTCTAGTTCGCGCGCGCGGGGCGGCCCCTGGGGGTCCCCCGGCGAAAAGTACCCCGACCAACGCCCGGTCGCCGCCCGACCGCCGCCCGACCGCCGCCCGACCAGTCTACTCAGAGATGGTTTTCCTTCTGGGTGCGGCCTCTCAGGCTCCCCAGAGCGCGCTCAGAGTGCCCCAAGAGGCCCCCAAGACTGCCCAAGAGGCCCCCGAGACGCCCAAAGAGCGCTCGAAGACGCCGAAGATGACCCCAAGACGGCCCAAAAGGCCCCCAAGACAGCCCAAGAGGCCTCCAAGACGCCCCAAGAGCCTTCCAAGAGGCCTCCGAAGAGAGCCCCAAGAGGCCAAAATCGTTGATTTTCATTGTTTTTTTCGATGTTTTTTGTGTTCTGGCTTTTTCGGCTTCCGGACGCTCCAAGACGGCCCAAGAGGCCCCCAAGACCGCTCCAAGACGGCCCACGAAGCTCCCAAGACGGCGCCGAAACGACCCAAGAGAGCCCTCAAGACGGCCCAAGTGCCGCCCAAGACGGACCAAGAGGCCCCAAGACGGGCCCAAGAGGGACTCAGGAGGGATACCGAGAACTCAAAAATGGAGCCCTCCGTCCCAGAAGGCGCCCAGGAGGTCCCAAAGAGGCCCCAAGAGGCCTCCAAGAGGCCCCAAGATGTCGCCAAGAGGCCCCAGGAGACTCCCAGGAGGCCCAAAAGAAGCCCCAGAAGGCTTCAAACATGTCTCCCAGGCGCCCCCGAACGGCCTCTCAACAGACCCCAAGAGGCCCCCCAAAGAAGCATCTTGACGACGACTCTATTTCGCCCCATCGAGAGACGACCCCCAGGGAACTGCTTCACCATCAAAACTCCCCACGCAACGCGTCCGAACGACACCCGCCCCCAAGAGCGCAACATGGGCAACGAACACACAGACAAAAACCAGCGATGCCATATCACGGGCCGGCGGAATGAGCGAAGCGATTCAATAACATTCGCTTACGCAATGGAAATATGAGCCTGCAGCATAGCACACCGCTTTCGTCATCCTCGCCTTCAACATCAAAGTCGCGATCACCATCACCGTCACCGTCAGTGTAATGATCGTGCTTGTCATCGTCAATAATATCTCCATCATGCATAGTCTCCGTCGTCATGCTGATCATCGTCGCGGTCGCATTTTCTCATGCGATACAGCATCACGCAACCAGCGGCAGCTATAGCCGCACGAAGGAGCTCCACCATAAGCCTAGCGCAGAAGATGTACCGCACAAAAGACGAAGCGTCACGACAAAGATGTGCATGGTAATTGTTGTGTATGAGCGCCCCGCAAATCGTGAAACTGAATCATGGCTGGCGTCATCTTCCATTCTTACACCAAAATGTCACCTCAAGCGCAATATTCAAAGCAACCACCTCCGCATGAAAGGCCAGACGCGAAGATTGGATGAGCTTGCCGAGCACGCCCTGCAGCGCAGGTTCAAAGCCAGTCGGAGTTCTGATCTAATGGGCATGATCGTGAATAGTCTTCGTCGTCGCCGCTGATCCTCGTCGTGAACAGCGTCGGCGCCGACAGTTGCCATCGTCAAAATCCTGGACTACCTGGCCTGCCCAGCCTGCCTAGCCTGCCCTCCCGCGGGCACCTTCCCGTAGGCAGCGCTGCCATCGGGGACGTCCTCTCGTGGGAACGGAGGCGGCCCAGCGGGCGCCCTTGCAGTCGCCGGCGCCTTGGCGGCTGCTTTGGGCAGCTCGCCAGGCCGTCGCACGTCCTCTTTCTTCGCCGCAGGCGGCGTTGCCTTGCGGCGACGGGTTCGGGCAGACTGCGAGGGGAGGCAAGAGGGCGCCAGCCTCGTTTTCCCCACTAAACGGCGAGCGTCGCAGCGCCCACGGCAGGGAGAGGAAGGGGGAGGGAGGATGCCGCATCTTGCCCTCGCTTGTCCATGGCCCGCTCATGGCCCTGGTTGCCCCCGTGGGCCGTGGCCTCCTTGGGCGTCCCCCATGGTGAATGCCGCGCAGTCCCGTCGGCTGCCCCTTGCCCGACCATAGCCCCCCGCTGCCCCCATGGCCCGTACCCCCTCTCGCGGACATGTCGCGAAGCCCTGACCGTCCAGACGGTTGCTGCCCGCCCATGGCCTGAAAACAACACAACCCACAACCCTCCCCCATCCCCAGCCAGGACCCCCGGCCCCACCGCCACCCCCAGACAGGACCCCCTGGATCACCAGGTCGGGAGTGGGGGTTCTAGCCGGGGAAGGGGGTGGGCTGTGCTGCCCTCGTGGCCCGCATGGCCCCATCGCGTCCCCCATGCTCTGAATGCCGCACCTTGCCCTCGGTTAATCCGTTGTCCCTTCCATGGAGGAGGACGAGGACGAGGACGAGGAGGAGGAGAAGGACGAGGAGGTGAGGAGGAGGACGAGGAGACGAGGAGGAGGACGAGGAGGAAGAGGAGGCGAGGAGGAGGACGAGGAGACGAGGAGAAGGACGAGGAGGAAGAGGAGGCGAGGAGGAGGAGGAGAGGAGGAGGAGGAGGAGGAGGAGGAGGAGGAGGAGGAGGAGGAGGAGGAGGAGGAGGAGGGGGGAGGAGGAGGAGGGGGGAGGGGAGGAGGAGTCCCCTGTGGTCCTCGTGGCCCGCTGCCCCTGCTTCGCGCCCCATGTTCGGGGCTGCCCGAGGCGGCCGAGGGCGGGCGGCGGGCCAGAAAGAAGCACGGAAGCGGGAGCCAGCGCGCACGGGACGGCCACGAGGCGGCCACGAAGGCGGGGCGGCCGCGCGAGGCGGTTAGACAGGCGGAGTGCACGGAGCGATTGAATTCGGCGGGCCCCCTCGGGGTCCTCGCCGTGTTAGCCGTCGAGACAACATGGTGACACGGAGGACGATGGAGGGAGAGTGAGATGCATTCATGAAAGCATGCTAGAAGCGCCTTCGCGCATTCCGCACGGCTGGGCTGCATCACAACTCCTGGGACACGTAAACATAGGTGATCCGCGCCACGGTGAGACGTCACTCCGCTGGACCCCCCAGCAGCCCTCGAAAATGGCGACAGCTTCGCAGATCGCAAACTCCCAGGGATGGCGAGGGAACGTAGGACGGCGAGATAAGAGGCGAGCTGGCAGGCAGGTACAAGCCCGGTAGAAGACAGGAGAGAAGAGGAGGGGGGAAGAGAGGAGGGAGGCCGGAAGGAAGGAGTTGCGACCGCAGTGCCCTTTGTCCAAAACGAGAACCCAACGCAGCATGGTTGGGAACAACTGGTGCGCCCTAAGGGCCAAGAAAGCCTCGTGTTGGCGCACCCCTCATGCATTTCCTGCCTGAGGTTACTCTCGGACGCGGGGGGCCACGAAAGCTTCCATTCTGCACACCCATCACGCATTTCCCGTCTCATACTCCCCATGGAGATCCCAGAGGCTGTCCGACTCCCACTGAACGCCAGCGTGGCCCCTAGAAACATTGCAGCGATTGGTACCGACCAAAGTCGAGGCGACATCCCCAACACCCAACGATTGCAGAATCTGCGTGCAAGCCTTACCCCTAGGAGCCCGCCGTGACTCCCACTCCGCGGGCTCGATATCAATGACATGGGACCGCGGGGAATCCAGCAGCGTGAGACTGTTGAAGAAACACCAGGACCTCCGGACCAAAATTGAAGGGGCCCTGGGACACACAAATAAATAGAAACAAATAACAGGATCCCCCATATTTTCCCATATGTTCTGGGTTCTCGTCTTCCCCCCCACCTCCCATATTTTCCCATATCTTCTGGGGAATCGACGATGAATTGTGTCTGTGTATTTTTTCCCCTCCTGGAAAACGGAGCAGCCAGACGGGCTCCCAACGGCGACGTCCCGTCGACGCCCGGAATTTCCGCCCCCCGAGGACTGGGACGAGGAACTGCCCACGGCGAAGGGGTCGAGACCTCGCCAGCCCCGCGGAACGTCGCCGGATGTCAGAGGAGAGGGCAGGAAGCAGAGGGGGGGGAGGAGGGAGGAGGAGGAGGAGGGAGGGCGAGCTGCCCATTACGAAGCGGTCGAGAAAACGCCAGCCCCGCGGAACGTCGCGGGATGTCAGAGGGGAGAGCAGGAAGCAGAGGGGAGAGGGGAGAGAGGAGGGAGGAGGGAGGGCGAGGAGGGAGGCCGGTAGACATACGTAGCATGAGGGATCGTCTGGCACCGCAGCGCTGTTCTGGGGATGATTAGCAAAGTCTGCGTCATCGTCCTCTCCTCGAGGCAGGTGCTGCATGCGAACAAGCCTGAATGGACACTGAGGCGGTCATGCCTGGCGCATACCGCCGCACATTCTCAGCTTCGGATTGGTGGTAGAGACACATCGTGGTTATTTTCCCAACATGCTTAGACGAGAGAGGCCATTTGCCATCAAGATGCGCGTGAACATTCCCCGACATC